TATCCAAGCTCCAATTATTTGTACGTATGCATTTTCTGTTGTGATTTCTCATCCGTTACTTGACCCAAAACTTTGCATGTCTTAATTATGTTTTACAATTACAAAACCCAGGAGCCTCTTGAGCCTTCCTGAATGCAAAGTCAGCAGTTGAGGGGTCTGAGGCTTATTAAATTTCCTAGTGCATATGGGAAACGAATTGGAAGGATAATGCAGTGAAGGATCTGCTTTCTCTTGATGTATTTGATAGCTATTCAGAATGTTGAATCTGACTGTTTAGAAAGAAAACCTAAACTAGATCAGGATGTGTTAACTGGACATATTCCCAATTGAGGGCTCTGTCCACTTTCATTTGTGAAAAGAGATTCATAAAGAAAGAATACCAACCAGTTAGTGGAAATCAGTGTCTCATAGTTCGAAGTACGGTAATATCTTTGTGTTGGAAAGAAGTTCCAAGCTTCTCAAACATGACAGATGGAGAACAACTCTGCATATGCACACCAAAATAGGTAATTGTGTGGTGGCTACAGAGGGCATCTCAGCTATGGGAGAAAAACGAGGATCCTTTTGTGCCTTTTAACTTAACTACTAGCCTTTATTCATTCTGAGTTTCTGCCTTATTTACACTGTATATTTAGTTCTAATCAAATTGGTATGGGTTTTGGAGAATTCAGGCTTTTCAAACAAAGGAGTTGTTTTTATTTTCAGGGTTTGGAAAAGGAGCTTTATTTCTGCTTCTTTATTTAGACAACTAATATTTTATTCATGGTTGTACTCTTGATTAGTTCAGAAGTTAATCAGGCTTCACAGAAATACATATAGGTCTGTGGAGACTAACATTTGTTGCAATAATGCCTGCAGATCCCACCAGTTAAGGCAGTAGAGCATCATGAATTGCTGCTGTTTACAAGTAATACTAGTAAAATACATACTGATTACTTGGATTTTTTTTGTCCTCAGTGTCAGTTCTCTATTGGTTTGTGCATGTTTCACTTGTCCTTCTGAGGAAGAGCAACTTCTGGAACAAGGATGGTACAGAATGTTTGTTATGGTGACAGCTTTGGTTCTCTGACTTCAATCTGTGTTCAAGAATATGCAGCCCTGTATAATGCATTCAGACCAATTTGAATTTTGATGAACATTATTCCTTAAATTCTTTAAGTGGATACTGGTCTTTTTCACAACTTGGTAAAGAGTATTACAGCTTCTTCTAATTAGGCTTTTTTGCCTTGTGCCTGAGGAGAGCATGAGATTATTCATGTGTGGCCCAGAAAGCCAAACTGTATTCTGGTCTGTATCAAGAGGGGTGGCCAGTAAGGTGAAGGAGGTCGTAGCCCCCTTCTGCTCTGTCCTTATGCAGTCCCACCTGGAGTCCTGTGTTCAGCCCTGGGGTCTGCAACATAAGAAGGACATGGACATGTTGCATCAGGTCCAGAGGAGGGCCACAAGGATGATCAGAGGGCTGGAGCACCTCTCCATGGAGACAGACAGAGGGAGCTGGGCTCATTCAGCTTGGAGAAGGAAGTCTGGAGAGACCTCATTGAGGCCTTCTAGTACCTAAAGGGGACCTGCAGGAAAGTTTGAGAGGGACTCTTTATCAGGGAATGTATGATAGGAAAAAGGGTAATGGCTTCAGACTGAAAGAAAATAGGTTAAATGTATGAGAGTGGTGAGGTGCTGGCACAAGTTGCCCAGAGAAGCTGTGGATGCCCCATCCCTGGAGGTATTCAAGGCCAGGTGCTTAGATGGGGCCCTGGGCAGCCTGACGTAGTGGAATGTGTCCTTGCCCATTGCTGGGAGCAATGTTGGAGCTAGGTGATCTTTAAGGTCCTGTCCAACCCAAATCTTTCTATGATTTTATCTCGCATCAAAGGCATGTATAAGAGAAGCATTGTGGTAGTCATCTCCTGTAAGTTTACATGCTTATAACACAGACCTCTTGGTTATCGAGACTATTTCTGCAGTTGACAGGGAGAAAGAAGACCACTTCAGAATTATATGAAGATGGTGTGAAAGTGCAGGTTTTTTTGTTGTTTTTTTGTTGTTGTTGTTGTTGTTGTTTTTTCCCCTCTACTGATTGTACAGACAATCTAGAGAACTGTCCTGGAGGTGTGCAATGTGAATGTTTCAATTTAGCTTAACTGGTAGCAATGTCAACTTGTTTTAGAGCTACTGGTCCAAAAAAGAGCAAGAAGATAGGTGAACTATGCAGGAACCACCAGAGTTGACATGATCATGTCACATTCATGTCAGTGACAGACTGAGAATGAAGGTTGGGCTCACGTGAGCTTTTCTGTGCTACTCCATGCTTCCCGGTGTCCTAGAGGAAACAAGTGATAATGCTTCAATTTCACTTTTTGTCATAGGGTATTGTTCTGTTTGAAACTTCATGATCCCTGACCCTTTATTTTACTACTAAGCTAATGTGAGGCTTATTCAGTTTAGAAATTATCCTGTACGTACTGGAGAACCACATCTTTCCCATACAAACTCTGGGCTACCTCTAGGTGGAAGGTAAATTATTTTTTTTTCAGTTTGAGATTGGAAGCATTATCTGTCCATGGTGTATCATGAGGGAGGTATTTTGTCCAGGGAACCAAACCCTTAGAGAATGGATGCAGAAGTAACTTGATCATCTATTCCCTTGAGGCTGTATTGCTGCTTTAAATAAATGATTTCAGTTTTTAGATAAAACACTTCCAGTTTGGGACGCTTGTTTCTATTGGCAAACTACTTCACAATTTGCAAAAAAAGCAAACTGTTTTTACAAACAGATTTTTTGGTCAGTAATCCTGTTACATGTTAAAAATGGTTTAAGCAGAACTTTACAGCCAACTGTAGTTGGAGCAGTTGACTTGGAGCAGTTCTGAGCCAAAAATGAGCTGGCACAACTGCCCGTCATGCCCTCGGGGATAAAAATTCACAGCAGGTTTTTGGTGTATGTACCAGACTGGGCAAGTGGAGTGGGGCTGGATAAGGAGGTGCATTCAGAACAGTGGGGTATTTTTTTTGTTCTTGTTTTCCCCTACCACTATATAATATTTGCTATGGTAAGTAATCCACAGGACAGTCCTCCCATTTCTCAGCATTTCAGTAATGAAATGAAGAATGCACAAGGTAGACTGCTGAATTCCTATCCTTGATAGAATTTGGACTTCAGGAAACTCCACTGTATAGGTGACTATATTCTTAATGAAATGGTTAAGAATTTGTTTGAACTTCACTACACGCTGTCTATATTTATGGCATCAGCTTAAAACAAAAGTAATTTTTTATAATCAAGACTTTAAAAATATGCATTTCAAAGAAAGTTCTAAGTACTTGTGTTTCTTCAGTAATGAACTTTTGCACTCTGAACAGCAATGAACTTGTAGTGATGGTCTACATACATGTTGCCAAAAGAGACGTTTTTCATTAGGTTTTGGATTTTGTAGCTCAGGGCAGCAACGAATAATTTCTTTTGGATTTGTTAATGGCAGTTCATGGGGTTCCTACTCCAGTCTGTTTTCTCTGGGTAAATACTGTGATGGGATTCAGGTGGTGTCTGGACTGTATGCTGATCTGTCATGTAAGGGAGCAGTTATCAGGTGAATGAGAGAAATACATGTGTTGTAGCTGTGGAGCAATTGCTATAATGTCTGCTATCCTAAATTAAACCACAGACAGAAACATAGATGCTTTTTTTTTTTTTTTTTTTTTTTTTTTTTTAAGTTATTTGACTGTTGTGAGATACAGGTTATGCTTTCATAGTATTTGGTGTTTTGCAGCAGTATTGCCTGATTCCAGTTCCTTGCAAAATCATCTGTTTCTGTGTCTGTATTACTTTACTCCTGTCTGACTTGCAGGGCAGCCCCACAGTTTTTTCAGCAAAGCTGAGGGAAGGTACAGATTTAAGAAAAAACAGGGCAAAAGAGACTGGAATTATCATTTCCTGATCCTTCTGTCAAATATGTCTTCACACAAAGACAAATTTTGTTACTCCTTAAATGTTTTACTAAAGATGTTGTGATGAATTTTGCAGAAACTTAAGGTTATTTAATACTTAAGGTATGGCTCCTTAATGCTTTTTCAGGCAGGTCTGAGCTTGTTCTGCCTAGAATTTGGTCTACCTCCTGACATGGGCTAATGGGTCTTGATTTAGTGATAGCAAACACCACTACACAAGCATGGTTTCTGCTCAAATCAGAGCAAGAGCAGAGCTGACTTACACCTGTCTGAACAAGTCTGAGTAGAAAACCATGATTCTGTGATTCTGTGTGAGATGCTGTGATTCTGAGAGCTGTACTGAAACACTTAGTGTTCTGATCAGGGGGTATGTAACTCCGGTACTATACAAGAAGTTTGTCAGAAGACGGAATATTTAGGCAGTGAATGTGTAAACTAGCATGGGTGAAATGTGGCTGGACCCACTTACGTCTACCTTCCTTGAGGACCTCTTGCTGGCAAAGGTATGAAAAGTCTGAGCTGTCTTATCTGTCAGCATGGTGGGACTTACCTGTCTGTTGTGGAGGCAGGAACCACACCTTGGTACTGGCTAGGTCCGGGGTCTAATGTCCAGTGAGAAAAGGATCTGTCACAGAAGAACCAGGTGCCATCTTGTGTAGCTTTCCTCTCCATAGTGGTAGGTCTATCGTGTATGAATGATGTAACTCTCAAATACTTCTCTACACAGTCATTAAGAGATGAATTCAGTATCACAGAATTGCATGGTCAGAATGTTCTGTAAGGAATGGAAGGTGGAAAAGACTACAAATTCATCCTTTTGTTAGGTTTTTGAGTTAGAGTGTTTGAAAAAAATAGGCACAAGTACACATCTATTTTCTGCAAGGGTTGTACTAACGAATTGGGAATTTCTCCATTTCAGTAGGAAGGTTATCTAGGTTATCTAGGATATTTAACTGTGCTTTGCCTGCTGCTGCCAAGCCACTGGCTGCTCCTTCACCTCCCTTGTGATTACAGCAGTATGACAGTCTCTTTTCTTTTTTTCCCTCCTATCTTCCCAGGACACAGATGGGATTAACCTGTACTACTGGTCCCTGTTTGATGGACATGCTGGGTCAGGCGCAGCTGTGGTCGCTTCCAGACTGCTGCAGCACCACATCCTGGAGCAGCTGCAGGAGATTGTGGACATCCTGAGGAACACGGCTGTCCTCCCACCCACCTGCCTGGGAGAGGAACCTGACAACACGTCCACCAACAGCAGGACGCTGACACGAGCAGCCTCCCTGCGGGGTGGTGTGGGGGCCCCAGGCTCACCCAGCACCCCCCCGACACGCTTCTTCACTGAGAAGAAGATCCCACATGAGTGCCTGGTTATTGGGGCTATAGAAAGTGCATTCAAGGAAATGGTATGTATACCTTTAGGTTCTGAAGTCCACATTTCATATGTCCATCAGTCACATGGCCTGGGCAAAACAAACAGTAAGGAATATATTTTTTTCCACTTTTCTTTTTTCTACTTAAATAATTCTGTCCTTACGTAGATAGTGTTTAAGAGCCTCAAAAGCTTACCTGTAGTGTTTGTGTGAGGGAGGGAACTGTTTTTTGGTCTGTGGAAGCTGCTGCCAGGCTCACTAGCACTCACAGGAGTGGTATCCTAAATCCCAAGTAGTGCCACAACCACATCATTTGCACTTTCCTCTGCTAGAAGGACTCTTAGAAACTTGTTTGTTCTTTCCTCTCCTTTTTATTCTTTTTCTTTTCTTTTTCTTTTCTTTTCCCTTTCCTTTCCTTTCCTTTCCGATTAAAAATCAGTGTTGCTTCACAATAGCAGATTTCAACTTTGGCTGTTACATGTGCATATACAGATGTGTGCCTTAGAAAGCCTCCTTGCTCTATGAAAGCAGCAGCAAAGGCACCTCATCATCCCTTGATCTGCAGACATTGCCCAGTTCATATTGCCCAGAAATACAAAAAAAAAAAAAAAAAAAAAAAAAGGTCATAAAATCACATCAAGGATGTGGATGAGAATTAGCTTCCTTGACCTGCTGACCTGCAGTTCTTGTTAGCATTGGGGTGGCTCATAAGACAGTGTCTGTGGGGAATGTGTACAACTCTTGAGTGAGGTCAGTTGGGAGTCGGTGAGTGGGGCATGAAGGATGTTCCTGCCACTCACTTGATTTGTGTACAGCAAGAAAAGATCAGGGTCCTGTGGAAATAGAATATCTCAAATTTCCCCATTGGAAGCTGTTTTCTCTTTGAGTTTTTATAATTGATACAGTTGCTCCGCACTTCCCCATTCATCCCTTCTCAGTCTCAAAAATAATTCTAGTCAGGCAGAGCAGAGACTTGGTCTGTCAGCAAGTACATCTGGGATCAGGTCTTGAGAGATGTCTTTTCTTTCTCTTTTTTTTTTAAGCCTCTTTTTTGAGCAGAAGGTTTTTGAACTAATGAACGTTTCCCAGAGGTTTTATTTGTTGCCTGAAAAGAAGTACAAAGGCAGGATTCAATCATAGCTTATTCTGATATATATGAATTTTGTTTGGTACATGCATCTAATTAGGAACTTCAGATGTTATAACAAAGTGATGTTTCACTTTGAATTCAGAATAGCAATTATCTTGCAGAATTGCCCTTTCTTCCCAACGATGTGCAGGAAAACATACTCACAAATTGAGTTGTCCACAAGTAAATCTACAGCCATGGTTTAGGCATCAGTCAGTGTGGGACCTGAGAGCATATTAATGTACTGCAGCAACTGGGCTGTTTCTGCCAGGTAAAAGCAAAGAGGACGTGTGAAAACCTCTGTCAGTTTAGCACTCCCCCTTCAGAAAGGAAGAACTAGCTTGTTCCCTCTTCTGTTGAAGGAGGAAAGAGATGATACTACCTGTCTGCCATACTCTAGTATTTGGCTGGGGATTTTCCTGAAAGCTTGTTTCTTAGAGCAGTGGAAAAGCCGTAATACAGGAGAGTAGTAGAAATCCTGGATAACTTATTACAGATGTGATGCCTGGTTATTCCGGACATGGATTGTAGTAATCTCTGGATTGTAGTAATTGTAGTCCTCCCTTTTTCCAAACTGTGGAGAGATCGTGGAATCATAGAATGGCCTGGGTTGAAAAGTACCACAGTGATCATCTAGTTTCAACTCCCCTGCTATGTGCAGCATTACCAACCACCAGACCAGGCTGCCCAGAGCCACACCCAGCCTGGGCACCCCCAGCCTCCAGGGATGGGGCATCCACAACCTCCTTGGGCAACCTGTATCTTGTTTATCTCCCTGTGTCTTTGACTATACTCTACAGATCAGAATAGTTAATAGTTTAATTCCTATTTTTACTTGGCTATATAAATGGCTGTTAGTATGATTATCATAATGCAGTACATTCCTGGCATTATCTTTTGCTTTAAAAGGAAGTCTAATGATAATTAAAAAAAAAAAAAGTGAGATTAAGAAAAGCATTAGATAATTTATCTACCTTAAACTAGGTGGTGTCTTGTGTTCGTATGTGGTTTAGGGACAAGACTATATTCTTCTGCATAAGTGTCTGCCTAAGGGTTCTGCGGTTCACAAGATCAGCACTCATGAATCTCATTTGTGCCTGCAATGATTCATCCCACCTCCCTATGACTTCCTGCTGGCTTATGCTCCTAGCAGTCTGTGTAAGAAGACTTTGGGCCTCCTCCGCAGTATGTTGTTTGTCAGTTGCTGCTTTGTATTGGAACATTGTGGATATTGTTGAGGTAGTTCGGTGCAGTTAAAACTTGCATAATTTTCAAGGGTTTCATGCCAGCAGAGTGTATCATTTTACCCAGCACTTGGTGAAAGCTCATGTTCCTGGACATGTAAGCAGACATCTCGGTGTTGTTTTCTGAAATGTCTAGTACTGAAAGGAGCCCGTTGAACCTGGTGAAAATGTTGGATAGATAAAGATACGTTTTTTTTAATTGGACAGTTGAACCTGACAGGTTTATCTATTGAAGGTTTTGTTCCCTTTTATCAGGAAATTTTTTTTTGGTACCTTTTCTTTCTTCCCCAAATGTCTTTTGAATTCTTGTCAAGCTCTCCCTGTTCTAACCTAGATTGTCAAATAAAATGCTATTTATCAAATGGCTCTTAAAAATTATTCTTCTTTGTCAGGTGTGATTTTCATTTGGACATTGCTTGTCTTACAGCTATGTGCATTAAAACACTGTAGGAAGCTAGTAAAGGTCATGTCATTGCCTAACTTAAAAAGTTCAGGAATTAAGATGCTCCCCTTTTTGAAGCACTTCTAGAGAGTGTTCTCTGTTGAAACTGGGACTAGCAAGCTTTTGTGATGTTTTCACTGTTCTATTTAAAATAATAATAATGCTCAATGTCAATAATTGTCAGTGACCACAATTACTTGAATGAAAATAAATTAGCTTAAGTTTTGGAGTTATTCCAAGTCAAATCCTCTAATTTTTCATCTCTTGAGTTTTGAGATGTCTATGTAGAGATTCAGGAGCTGAGTGGATACTTCCAAGTAGTCTTCATTACTGGATAGAAGCATTAAACTAAATCCTTTCCTGGAATTCAACCTTTTGTGCATGAGAGCAATTTAGTATTTAATTTAAAGACCTTGGACAGGAAGCACCTATTCTACACTAAACCTTCTTTATCTTGGATGGGAAAAAATGGCACATACATAGGCTGTGTGATTTATTGGAAGATAGTGGTGTCTGCTGTATCAAACTTTTTCTTCTTTTTTGAGATTCTTTTGATTCAAATCTAAACAGATACTTTCACAAAATGCTTCAAACTAAAATGGCATCAATCTTGAAGGACCGACACGTTGTATGGTTTTCCTTTTTCAAACAAACTTCCTCTAAATAGCCATTAGAAATAAAGGGGCTTGCAATAGTGATACAACCATTTTGACGCCTTTTTGACTGAGCTAAAGCAATTTAAAGAGTTAATTTTGAACTTTATGCCCTCTGAAACATGATTTTTAATTTAAAAAAGAAAAAGTTAATGGATATCCTGTGCATAGGAGGTAAAGCTACTTGCTGTCATAGCAAGGTACAGCTACCTGAGGATGGATACAGCTGAAGAATAGTTACTGTAGTTCTTAGTGCAGTATGATGACTTGTAACGATGATACTGCAAATGTCTGTTTTCAAGATCCTGAACTTCTAAAATTTGGCATCAGATGCCGCTGGCACACACTTCTCTGCACCCTCACACTTGCTTCTTTCCCACCCTCTGCTGCGCCCCTGCAGCAGCCCGCATGTATGAGCCATCCTGTGCAGAGCTGCCGGTGGCTCATGCCCGCAGGCCAAGATGTGCCCCACGCACACTGATGGAAAACGCTGGAAGGAAGGATGAGGTTGGGAGCCCTGCAGCACGCCAGGCCGCTGCCCATGCCACGCTTACAGAGGCACCAGAGCCGCTCCGGCAGATCTCCACGAGGTGGCATGAGCAAGCTGCTGTGAGCCTCCGAATGAGCAAACAATGCTGCCTTCATGGCGTAGTCGTCTTCTGTTTTTAGAAAAGGCTGTAAGCTAGCATGACAAACGAGTGTTTTTGCTCAGGGAAGCTCGGGTCCAAGCCTTAGCTTGCCCCTGTGCTCCATCCCTTGGGGGGGAAGGGGGGGAGCATAAGGCAACTCTTACGGGTGCCCTGCTCCTGCCTGCTGCAACATTCCCCATCCTCAGTAGGGGACAGAGCACAGATTATTTTCCTCCTTGGTATTAAATGTCACCCTTTTTAGCAGAGGATACAAAAATCCTTTTTTTTCTCTCTCTCTCTCTCTCTCTCACTCTCTTTTTTTTAAGACCATGTTACAGCTGTTAGGAAGGTGTTATCACACAGCTACTAATGAGTCCTCTAATTCTTCACCCTTCATTCTCCAGCCTGCAGTTCGTACTCATTTTTCACTTGTTGAGTGAAGTTTTTCAGTTCTGTCAAGATCTGACAGTGTGCCCCATACTGCCTTTTGGACTGAAAGAGGGATCATATCATCATCACAGAATCACAGAATGGCCTGGGTTGAAAAGGACTACAGTGATCATTTCAACCCCCCTGCTATGTGCAGGGTTGCCAACTGCCAGACCAGGCTGCCCAGAACCACATCCAGCCTGACCTTGAATGCCTCCAGGGATGGGGCATCCACAGCCTCCTTGGGCAACCTGTTCCAGTGTATCACCATCCTCTGTGTGAAAAACTTCCTCCTGATATCCAACCTAAACCTCTCCTGTCTCAGTTTAAAACCATTCCCCCTTGTCCTATCACTATCAACCCTTGTAAACAGCCATTCCCCCTCCTGTTCATATGCTCCCTTCAAGTACTGGAAGGCCACAATGAGATCTCCCCAGAGCCTCCTCTTCTCCAAGCTGAACAAGCCCAGTTCCCTCAACCTTTCCTCACAGGAGAGGTGCTCCAGCCCTCTGATCATCTTAATGGCTTTCCTCTGGACCCACTCCAAGAGCTCCACATCTTTCCTGCACTGGGGGTCCCAGGCCTGAAAGCAGTACTCCAGATGGGACCTCACAAGAGCCGAGTAGAGGGGAACAATCACCCCCCTCTCCTTGCTGGCCACCCCTTTTTTAATGCAGTCCAGAACACAGCTGGCCTCCCTTGTCTTAGTTTAAAACCATTCCCCCTTGTCATATCACTCTCAACCCATGTAAACAGTCATTCCCCCTTCAAGTACTGGAAGTATGATTCCGCCCAGTTTTGCTCAGCTCTTCCCCTACAAGCAGGTTGCTATATAGAAACGTTTTGCATCCTACAGAAAAGGAGATGGGGGAAGAGAAAAAAAGGTTACTCTGAAATCTTTCCCCAGATGGGAAATTAGGAAAGTTTTGTATATATTTGGCCTTCATCTAGAACTCTTTATACCCCTAAAGGTTTCAGAGGTATTCTGCATCTCTTTGCGCTGCACCCCTTTCCCAGCAGCACTGATGAAACGTATTTCATTAAAAGCTGATATCTCTACATCAGAATGAGTTAGTAGTAATGGAGGGCTTCATTTCATTTTGTTTTATCTTTTCCCCTCAAATTTTGTTGAGATATAGGAAACCTCCTTCAGCGCCGAAGATCTAGTTTAAGTTAAGCAAACTCTGAGAATGAGACCCTAAGGATTATCCATCTTCTCCATCCCATAATAAATGCTTCTGAGTTCTTCTTATTGAAGGGAATAAATTTTAATATAGGCATTCCAGCATTCGTGAAGCGTGCGTGTGACAGGGCTGAAATCAGGTGAGGAATTGTACTTTGTTTCAAGGTCTCAAAGGATACTCTGAGCAGCAGAGATGAAGCTATTTTAAAATTCCTGGCAGTGCCTGGAAAATCTACTGTAGTATTTGTAAGTTTAAATTATTTTGATGGTTAGAAACATCTGCTTCCTTTGAACTGCTCTTTTCAGCTTAATTTAAAAATATATGGAAACCACGGGGAGGAAAATCAGCTTCTCTATGGCAAGATTAGATAAAGTGGCATTTGCAACAAGCCCATGTCTGTGACCAAAGGCTCTGCAAGATTTGATTTTAGCTTTGAGGTGTTTTCCTTCTGGCCTTCACCACAGCCTACCAACCAAAAATAAAAATTAAAAAGGAGATAAATTAAGGAAAAAAAAAAAACAACTTGCATTGAGTAGCAGGAGCTACAACAAAACCCACAGTCTGCAGCAGAGCAGCTTGCAGTTCCTCTGTGCGGCAGATGATGGCCATGTCGGGTAGCGCTGTGCACCACTGCTGTCCTCACTACCCTCCCCGGTGCTGTTGTGTTGATTGCACAAATAGGATCAGGCTGTTTGCACTCTGGCCTGCACGGAGTCTTTGTGACAGGTGCTATTACTAATAGGAGCCCTCCCTGTCCAGCTCGCTCGGGACAGTGGCTGAGCACTGCTGAGCATCCCCGCTGCAGTCCTGGATCACCTCCCTCTTCAGAATTGTGTAGGAAACAAAGAGCAGTCCCTGGCTTGCTTTGGTGCTGCAGGTTTCCAAGCAAATTGCAGCTGTTATAGTTAGCATTTGTTGTGGTTCTTTTACTCGGATAAATAAAGCTCTGAAATAAAGCCCTAAATCCCATACCCCAAGGCATGGACAATTTGAGCTGTTTGTTGCTTAATGCAAGTAATGAAGTACAGCACACAGAGAGGCAAGGTTTAGCTGAAAAGATCTGCTAGTTACTTGCAATAGCTATGTTAGATGACACTCCCTGTTTGAATCTAGTATTGCAGGGAAAGACCAGTTTGATATTAGGTTGGATTTCAGACTCAGGAGAGGAGGATGACTTCTAACTTGTTGGGTTATTACCAGAAGCTAAGCTAAGAGGCAGCAGAGTGAGTTCACTGACATACAATTAGTTTTGTTGAAGATGTATGGAGTACTGGGAAGTAGCTCATTTACCTTTTTTTTTCATGGTCTCTAAGCTTTCTTGGGATAATGTATACTGCTGGGCTTGACTGACTGTCAGTGATAAATGTGACTTGTGTTCTCCACATCTATTAAGCAGGAGGGCTTTTTATATTTATATGGTATTTTATATAGTATTTCTTAAATTTCTAAACTCAGAATCAGTTGGAAGTTTAACATGGGAAGAACTATTTGAGTAGGTACATACCTCTCTAAATTGGTGCACATTCACAAATTCTTTCCAGGCCTCATGAAATCAGTGAGACAATATACAGCCTTACATATTGTGGCTCATACTGGCAATTCTGTGAATGCCTAGTACTAGTATTCTTTCAGTGTTCTACTGATGTTGTTCTATTTCACAGTTTTTTGTTAACTAGTTTCTGTATTTCTGAAGGGTAGCCCTGTTGCATGAGTGTGTCTTGCTGCTGTTTGTAAAGGTGCATGCTCCACAATCCTAGCCTTCACTTTGGAGACCAGGTAGTTATTCATGTCATAGCTAGGTCTCATTAATTATTTGCTGTCTATGTAAAGTGCTCTCCAATTATACCACCAGGTATGTGTTGTTCAGCTACATTTATCTTTGCTGCCTTTGTGCTTTTTCCATAGCAAAATCTCTTGCATCCCTCAGCATTGCCCTTTATTCCATGATGCCTGATGTTTTACTGTCCTATCCTGTTTTATCCCCAGCTTTGTATCATAAGCAGTTGGTACTCCAAGACTTTCCATTCTTTCTGAGCATGTAGCCAGAATTGAAATAGTAAAGAAAGCTAGTGGGACTTGCAGTTGAAGAAAATTGTAATTTTTTAGGGGAATCTTCATTTTCTAAAGTATTAATTACAATGCTGTCTTTTTTTTAATACATTTTATTTTCTTTTCCTATAGGATTTGCAAATAGAACGAGAGAGGACCGTGTATAATATTTCTGGTGGCTGCACAGCCCTTGTGGTGGTGTATTTATTGGGGAAACTTTACGTGGCAAATGCTGGTGATAGCAGGTGAGTGAGTGTGATGTCTCTTCTACTCCCACACACAAACTCCCAAGATCTGGTGTTACCAAGTTCCTTAGTGGCTAATAGCATCACCAAGAAGTTCTGTTTTTTGTCTGGGCTCTTAACAGTTCTCACTAAAATTAATGCAAAAAGAAGTGATGGACTTCCAGTGTCTAGTTGAGCGGTGGATGTACTCAAGGTGACTGATTCATCTTTTCTTTCTTGTTGCTGTCTCTGGATGAGTTGATGGTGGCAGAGAAGTGAAAAGACACTAAAGAGCCTTTGAAACAGGTGTAGTAGAATTGTATGTTGAACACTGTTTGATGGGGGGACTACATCTGGAACTGCTGATCCTGAGGCTGCTGTCCCTCGGTCTAGCCTTGGAAGACCACCTGGCTATCAGATTTTAATATAATTGAAAACAGTATTGAGAGTATAGTAAATATACTGGGGTGGGGGAGGCTATCCAGAAGTTAGGATTTTTACCGTGTCCTGCTCTGACTCATGTACTTGCCTGTTTCTCAGAACTGAATGCTGTAGTTCAAGAATTGTTACTTTGCTTTAGTTAGAAGTTGGATGCTTTAAATCTCATGATGAGAAGCTCCTTCTTTTTCTTCTGACTTAGCTAAAACTAGGAACATGCTGGGAGCCTCTCACTTGCATTCCTTCCCTCTCTCTCATTCTCTGCCCATACCACTGCCAGAGAGAATGAGGCTGTTCTTGCAAGACTTCATACCTTCGCATGTTTCTTCTGGCAGTGCTCTGCATAAACAGGCCAGCAGAGAGTAGTTCTCTGCGTGACACAGACTGCATTTGGGTTCAGTTAGTAGCTGTGTAACTGAAGTCTGTACAGGCACTGAACAGTTGTTGTCTTTTGATGAAGACCACTACGGTTACATGTTTGCGTTGTTTGGGTTTTGTCTGCACACAGTTCATGTTTCACTCTGTATTCACACAGACAGCACTCGAGTAGAGTGTTTTGAAGCTTAAACCAAATATTTTTATTGTCTCTTGCTGCATTAAAATGTGTAGGAAGACAAATCCATTGCGCATAAAGTGCTTTGCTTTTCATGTTAGTGATCTTAATTTGCTGAACTTGCTACATGTGTTGTAAATTGCTCACCAAGTTCCTCTTGACAAGTGACATATTCAAATCTTTTCCCTTCAAATGGCAAATGAATGAGTCCTTGCAGATGAGTCCTTGCAGAGTGTACCTGGAAACATACTTGAGTTGACCATCTGTCCACTCCTCAGAACCACTAACTGTGCTGCTTTTTACCTCTCTTCCATCAGATTAGGAGTAATCATGTTTTCCTTTACTACTGTGCTTTGAAGTACAGTTGAGTCTCTTCCATAGAGTTAGCTAATTGCTTTGTTCCTTGTTTGTGTAGTGCAAAACTGGCCATGCAGGACCTGCTTCTGAGGGCTGAGGTCTTTAGTTTTAAATGACTGGCTGCTTGCAGTTCCCCCAGGATCTTCCTTCTGCTTCCTGAGAGCAGCCTCAGCTCCACTGAATCCTGTGGATACTCACAGGAATAAACTTTTATTGGTGGTGATCATGAGGTAGTCCCAGTGTCCACTTAGTTAAAACCACTCAGAGGCTTTGAATTTTCATTAATCCCATCCAAAAAATTTATTTTTTTTTTTAAGAAAAAGAGGAAAAGAAGGCAGCCACTGGCAAGACTGAGTAATCTTTGAACTAAGGCTAAAGTTCTTCTACTGGTTCCTCAGATCCCTGTAGTTAACAGAGTCACTTCAGATCCAAAACTGTTTGGTTTTCCGCTTTCCAAACGGACCTCATGGAAGCCTTACTCATGCTGAGGAGAATTCTCTGAATTTTCTAAATCTTTCATTTTCACAGGGGCCTGCTCATAGATTTTCCAAGCTGAATAAAATATTTTTAAGAGAAGCTTTAAATTGTAGAAGTCTGGTTGATCTGAGTCTCTCTCCCACTGCTTCTCATGTTTCAGGAAGGGTGTAAGAGGGGGGCCTGCAGTTACTGTAAAACATCCAAGTTGCTTGTCATTCCTAAAATGACATTTTAGGACTAGAAAAGCAGCTCTGAGCTTGTCTGCCTACTTCCAGGGTGCACAGTGCATTGTTGTATTTTTAAGGGCCAAGTCACGTAGCCAAGAAGTTCCTCATTTGTGTTAGTGGAAAAATAAGTGCATTTTTACTGTCTCATGCCTTGCTTTGTCAACTTTTTTTTTTTAATACAGATACAAATGAGGATACTGAGAAATATAATGAGGAACTATTAAACAAAATGTTTATATGTTTTTTAGGAGAAGAGTGGGGTTAGGTTTTTTTTTTTTTTTCCAAATATGTGTCTCATGTTTGGAAGTCGATGCCAAAACCCTCAGTACTTCAGTGGAGTTCTGGTTTCCTTGAGTTCACCAACTCACTTATGCCTCTTCTGTCCTCCGTCTCCTACCTTCTCCGCCCTCATGCTAGAATAAATTTCTAAAAAATAACTGCAGTTAACTAATCTATGAGAGTTTTCATGCTGCAGTGTCGGTAATTGAACACTTTGAGTTTACACAATCCTTATTTGTATAGCCTCTGCCCAAAAGAGGGCTTAGGCTTAGAAGTTACCTGGAATTAGAAACAACAGAAGCTTATAGAGGTGGGTTTTGAACAGCTACTGCTGTCACCGGACCAAGGTACATACAACAAACTGTTACTGTCACAATGAGACTAAGAAAACTGCAAGTGTGAGACTTGAATAATAATGTGCTATGTGGTGCCAGCTATACCTCAGACTTATGCCTGTGGTATTCAGTTTAACCACTAAAGCTTCTCAAATCTAATCATTTCATGCCACGTACCCTGGCACTGTTGTATAGCAGCTGTCCTTTTGTAGTTGATGTGTAATTACATCATGAAAAGACTTTAATTACCATATTACTAAATTACCAGCCAGCAATCCTTTCAGGTTCAGCCCTAGCTCACTTCTGTAGGGACTATTAGGCTTCTTCAAGCTGAACACTTTTGGTTGGTGTAAAAAGGAGAAAAATTGTGCTAATTGTACGTTTTGTTATGAACTATTATTGAGCTTGATGTTATGGCATCACTAATGTCAATGATACAATTAAACTTATGCTAACGATGCAATCGCATTTCTGTAATAATTATACGTTAACTGCACATGATACCAGAATCCTACTAAAAATTAGGTAATTCTTCAGAGTCTGATAGAAACAACTTGGAGGGAGCCGATCTCATTTTCTAATGGCTTGCTAATCATTCTTGGAATCTGCCATAAATATACCTACTTGTAGAAAAACCTACTACATATTGACCAAAGCTTTTAAATGCCACCCTCTCTCTTGCTACCTCTCAGTGGTTAGCATTGTCTGTGCAAGGTTGTTAAGGTAGGGACTGATAGTGCTGTAGTGGGCTATCTGATACACAGCATTTATATTTTGCCTCCCAATTTGATATATACACCGTGGTTACTATCCTGTGGTAGACACTCTGAATATCTGGGGTTTCTTTGGTCTTTTTGTTGTTGGTTGATTGGTTCATTTTTTTTTTAATAAGGAATGGTAAATCTTCTCTGCTGATTCTTTTAAACAGTATTGTTCAGTTTTATATTGCAAAAGTGACTTTTACTTCCAAATTGTCATAACACGCCTTGTTAATCTCAGTTCTTCCAGTTTTATGTTCTTTATTAGTATGTTGTTTTATAGCTAGTGATGAAGCAGTAGTAAAACAAGAACTTAAAATGTTTTTACTGATTACTGCCCATTACTGTATAGCCTCATGCAATGTAACATTTACCCAATATCACTCCAATGACTCTAATACGGTATGATCATATTAACTGTGTTTGGCACAAGTGTTCTTCTGGCTCTCATGTTGTCTGGCTGGGGAGCTGCTCAGCAACTGCAGGCACTGCCATTTTGTGCTGTGTTTGGAGCCATTTGGGTTAGCAGTGTTTTTATCATTATATAAGATGCAGAACATCACAAGATGATTTGACTTCGCCATAGATCCTGAAATACTTGGTAAATCTTCAAATGGGTTCTTGGACTTCTTTGGTTTATTGGCAGAAGATGGCATCAGAGAAGAGAGCCTAATGTTTTGGAGGCTTCACAGTCTTGGAGGGTCACTGGATTTTTTGGTTTGCTTCATCAGCCTTTTTCTTTTTTTTTTGAATGTATATCATTTTTTGCATCCCTGCTTTTTGCCCCCATGTGCTTCTGTTTTCAAGGCGTATTCACCCTCTGCTTGAAGATATATCCTCATGTCCAGAACAGACTCCTTTCTGCAAGTGTAGAATTCATGTTAAAGCATTTGGGATTGTTAAGCGATAGGGGCTCTCTAAGTGGATGTATTTGTGGCAGTTTCACATGGGTACAGGTTCAGCAATGTCACTGGAGTTCAGTTGTCCATATGTGTGTACAACACTGATTTCTTCTAGTTTAATATAATAATGCATTGAAAATTGAATTCTGCTTTGTTTACTGTTTCCATTCTGTCTGGATTGGCAGCCTGTGTTGAATTTCACTTATATACTTGCTCTGTGTCATAGTGCTAGTTAACTGCTTATCTCATAAGTAGTTCCTTTTGTAGAGACTAAAATTTGGGAAATCACGTATTACTATGAAGCAAATGAGAGAGACATGGAAACAGCAATATATTTGCTGACTGGCACTGTAGTTGAAATAGAATTTTTGAGAAATAAGAATTGAAGATTCTGACTCATTTTTGTGGTTTGTGGTATCTGACCTCTTCCTCAAGGCAGTCCAACAGGGCGATTTTAGCCAGAAACCCAAACACTGTAGGGGTGGAAACCAAGCAATGCTCTAGTGCATTACAATTATAGAGTTGGTTTGTTTCGGTCTTTGTTTTACAGTATTTTTTAAGAAACTTTAATTTTCTAATTTTTCTTAACTATTTTCTAATCTATATTGTGTGGGATTTTTGTTTGCTTGTTTGGGTTGGGGTTTTTTTGCCTTTTTTTTTTTTAAAGTGGTCTGGTTAAGCTCTTTTGTCTCCTT